AAAAAAAAAAAAAAAAAAAAAAAAAAAAAAAAAAAAAAAAAAAAAAAAGCCAATTATCTCAATTTTTTAAATTACACGTAGTTCTCACAAGGCCTGCGTACCTCCCTCACCCCCGAGGCAAGCAACATCGATTTCATGACATGGCCAACCGGCGGCATCAGGGCAAGGCTGCACTGGTGCTGTACTCCTTGTCGGAAGGGCCTTACGATCGGAGAACGGCGGTTCACAGGCCGCATCTCGCCGCAGCTCATAAAGTCAAATTAATCATGAATAAAGCTGCCACGACTCCTTCCGCAGGGCGGCAAGAAGGTCCTGCAGGTCCTCGTCGAGGGCACGGTCTTCCACGACCAGCTTGATGCGTTGACCGAGATCGGCGATGAAGGAATCCAGCACCGGCGACAAGGACAAGCTGCCATCAACCTGCCCTCGCAAGGTCACGCCCTGCCGCGCCGCAATCAGCATTGCCGCAGTGACCTGTTCGGTCAGCTCGAGAACACGGAGGCAATCGCGGGCTGCGATGGTGCCCATGCTCACCTTGTCCTGATTGTGGCACTCCGTGGACCGCGAAAAGACGGAAGCAGGCATGGTGAGCTTCAACGCTTCCGCCGTCCATGCCGACACGCTGATCTGCAGTGCCTTCAGCCCATGGTTAATGGCCGCGCGGTGGCCGACTGTGCCCGACAGATTTGAGGGCAGCCCGTGGTTAAAACGCGGATCGACCAGCAGTGCCAGCTGGCGGTCCAGCAGGTCGGCCACGTTGGCCACCGCGATCTTCAGTGTGTCCATCGCGAAGGCGATGTGGCCGCCGTAGAAATGCCCGCCGTGCAGAACGCGCWCCTCGTCGCCGAGAATTATGGGGTTGTCATTAGCGCTGTTGAGCTCGCTCTCAATGATGCTTCTGAGCCAAGGCAGCGCGTCTTCGAGCACGCCGATTACGTGAGGGGCGCAGCGCAGGGAATAGCGATCCTGCAGGCGGCGTTCTTTGGCTGGTGCACGGTCCGTTTGCAGATCGCTTCGCAGGCGCGCCGCCGCTCGCTGCTGGCCAGGATGAGGCTTAACGGCATGCAAGCCCTCGTCGAAGTGCCCCGGATTGCCAGCGGTGGCGACCACAGTGCACGCTGTGAGCCGCGTTGCAAGCCGGCTGAAGTAGTCGGCTCGCCGCCATGCGAGGCAGGCCAGCGCCGTCATCACGGAGGTGCCGTTCAGGACTGCTAGACCTTCCTTGGGGCGGAGCCGCAGAGGTCGGGCGCCGATGGCATCCAGCGCCTGCGCCGCGTCACAGGTCTCCCCGCGGAAAAGCACCTTGCGCTCACCGCAGAGCGCCGCTGCCACGTAGGACAGCGGCGTGAGGTCGCCACTCGCGCCGACGGAGCCCTCGGCGGGAATCAGCGGCAGAATGTCGTGCACCAGGAGTAATTCGAGCTGCCGCAAGAGGTCTAGGCTGACCCCGGACACCCCTCTTGCCAGCGAGGCAAGTCGGACGGCGAGTACCGCTCGCGTCTCCGCGGCAGTGAGCATTCGACCTGCACCGCAGCCATGGAAGGTGTATAGCCGGTGCGGCAGTTCTTCGACCAGATCTGCAGGAATGCTCACGGTGCAGGAGTCCCCATAACCGGTAGTCACGCCATAGATCGCCTTCTCCTCACGCAGAAGGCGATCCAGAAAATTGGCTCCCAGAGAGATACGGCTGCAGAACTTCGGATCATCCGACAGCCGTACCGGCATGGAACGCCGAGAGATGGCGACGATGTCTTCGATCCTCAGATGGCTGCCGTCGAAACAGATTCCTGCCGAGTCGTGATAGTGACCATTTTGCGGAGGAGTCGTGGCTGGCTCCAGCAGGGCCATCTTGACGGCTTCGAACGGCAACCGATCACTGATACTTCTCCACGCGCGAGCAAACTTGAAGGCGGCAAAAAACTCTCAGGCAAATGAAGAGAGCGTCTGTCCCACAGCTGCACAGGATCAAGCCTTTCTCCGCCCACGCAGCAGGAGAAAAGCTTGATCCACAAATTGACGACAACTTCAAGGCGACCGATCCCAACGAAGCCTTACGAAGGCGGATGGAATGCCGCCAGCACGCTGCCGAACGCCTCTCTAGGCCACCAGTCGTAGCTCACGGCACTCACATCCCCCGCAGGCTCCAATCGACAACTGTCATGCAGAAGCCAGACCACTACAGATTGTTTTCCCCCCTTCTGCTGTCGAAACCCCCCTCCCTGCCTAACTTACACGACCGACACGCTGTTCGTCTCAGCCAGAATCGCCTAGCAGAGCGTCCTTGTCACCGCGTCTTCAGTGGGTACACAAGGAATCCCTCCTCCGTCGTCAAACAGTTGAAACCATCACTCGATTCATGCCAACGGATCCGTCGTACTGCCTGTCTACCGAATGCACCTATCTCATACCCGCAAGCCCACGATTCTGATTATTCCCACTATCCACTCTGGCAGATTACGACTAGTAAGAAGAAACTACTATAAGCGGCACGACGCGGGGTGGCGGCACTCCCTCGATGAGACCAGGAAACTATGGAAAAGCTGGCGTGATTGCTTCTTCCCTCCACTCTGGCAGATTACGACTAAGAAGCTATAAAACGCTCGTAGGGGAAGTCCCTCGATTGACTTAGGAACTCGCTGCCGTGGAGAGAGGCAACGTAGCGAGCACGTAATCCTCAGAGGCTCAGAACACTGCGTCCGTATGAGCGTAGTGTCATAAAGCCAAGAGATGCGACTTACAACGTTAAACCATCAGCGCTGTAACCCAAGCTTCATCATACAAGCTTATATGGAGAGAGGCAACTCAGGCAAGGGAGCGAGCGAGCGAGCGAGCGATCGAGAGAGCGATCAAGAGAGCGATCAAGAGAGAGAGATGGCAGGCGCAATAGGTGCTCTTGATTGTAAATGCTTAGAAAGTATCGAAGAGCGAGGCGGGCGACGTCCCTATGCCGCATTTCAGCCTTCATCAGGAGGAAAGCGTCTTCAGGGGACATTAGCACCTGATGAAACGTACTCTCTCTCGCCAACTATTAAATACTGTACTGGATCTACTATGGGCTGCCTAGGAGAGTTCGTCCGTACTTCGTTCCTCAAATGCGGGAGTAGAAGAGCGGGAATGCTGCATAACACTGCTGATTTTCGAGTTTAGTCTGGATCAGGAATCCGACATAATCTCGTCCGAAGATTCTAGTTTAGGGGCTCGCCACACAGCCTTTCGATTGAAGGCCTGTGGCAGACTTTTCTCGAAAGGCTGCTCGTCGAAAGGAATCTCCCCCCCCCCCCCTCCCTCCCCGGCCCCACAGACTTTCGAAACACCGAGGCCTTTCTATGGGCCTCGCTGCACTACTCTCCAAATGTGCAAAATGGAACTGAATCCACGCCTAGAACACGGAGAGATACATCGCCGTCTTTTTTGTCTTTTGTGCATGTGGAGAGTAGTGCAGCGAGGCCCTATATGCACTGCACATTAGGGTCTGGCTCCACTGCTCTCGACGCGTGTAAAACGAAAGAGTGAATCTTTGGGCGTTGCTCCACTACTCCGGAAATGCACAAAAGACAAAATCATGGCGATGTATCTTTCCTTGTTCTAGAGGAAGACTCACTCTCGTTTTGTACATTTCGAGAGTGGTGGAGCGAGACCCTTTGCCTAGAACAATGGAAAGATACACCGCCGTAATTTTCGTCTTTTGTGAGTGTAGAGAGTAGTGGCTCCAGGCCCTTGGAATCGCCCCTTCGTCTTCGTTTTTTTTTTGCGAATCGACTGTTTCGAGTGGGCCTTCTCACTAGGGGGCTCGCTGCATGCACAAAAGACAAAAACCATATCTTTCCATATTCTAGTGGAAGATTCACTCTCGTTTTGCACATTTCGAGAGTAGTGCAGCGACGCCCAAGACCACTCGAGGTCTTTGGAGGAAACGCTAGTGACAGGCGGGAGGATCTCATCTCTTCGAAATGGCGTTCGAGGGGCGGGTTTGTCATGGCCAACTGGACTCAAGGCAGTCCCTGACAATGCAAATTCGAACGCAATTCTCGAAAGGCAAATGGACTCGTGGCTAAATGGACTCCGGGATCTGGGCGGGAGGAAACGAATGGCGGAAGGTGGCTGTCGAGCGTACATTTTTATTTTTTTTAAAACACCTGTCGAATTTTTTTTGAGCCGCAATTCTTCCAAAGTCAAAGGGGCTCCCCACACCACTGTTGTTTTTTCTTGGACCATTTCTCGATTTCTGCGTGTCATCCTTGCGCAGGGGCCATGCTAATCTTCTCTGCATCGTTCCAATTTTAACGGACGTCCCGAAGGACAGCCACACCACTGTCGAAAACACCATTTTCGATACACTACTCTTGAAAGGTGCAAAATGGGGGTTCGGCTGACGAGCGCTGCGGCTGGCGGACTGCGCTCGGTCCTGCGTTGCTTACGGGTTTGTTCGGTAAGCCTGTCTGGCGGCGGGCGCTTTCTACGCGAAAGCGCTTCCGTGGGTGATATCTCCTTCCCTTTCGCATTGACGAAAGGATATGGTGGTTTTACCATAGTGATGATATCAGCAGACAGCTATATCCCCGACGAATCCCCTTCCTCACTGCCGTCCTTGCTGTCCATATTGAGTGTAGCCGTGTGTGAAGTATTTTCACGAAGTTGATGTCAGGACAACCTAGAGGTGTAGGAGTAGATCAACATGGAGCCAGAAGCGACGCCTCAGAGAGAGCAAGATGCAAGGGCTCAAGTTCGTGGTAACTACCAGTTGGAGGAAGACAGGTTAAAAGAGATGATCCGAGCATGTTATGAGGAGGGAATACTCCCTACCAACATTGACTCAGGAGAAATGGAAGTGGACGGGAGAGAAGTCAAGTTTGTGTTAAACGCTACCGTGGATGAAATCAAGGTGAAATAATTGACATTTCGTTAAAACTGACATTTTTTTCTAAATTCATGAAAGTGGACTTGCTCAAAATTTCATTGCTCGTTGGGTGAGAAAGTGGTTATTTCACTTTGTCCATCTGATGTACCTCAACGTAAAGTACCGTTAACATACATCCAATGATCAGATCATCGGGAGTCGCCCTGACACCCGATGATCTGATCATCCGACGTCATGGGGACAAAAAAACTCAAAAAAATGTTGTTTTTTGGTACACTCCATTTCGTGAATTTAGAAAAAAATGTCAGTTTTAACGAAATGTCAGTTAAACGGTTAAAAGCCAGAACGGTCACCATAATTTTTCAAGATGGAGCTCGTTTCCTTCCGAAAAAAGTCAAGGAAGACTTGGTCCGTGCCTACGACGACGTCTGGATTCGAGATGAGACGTTTGGACAAGACTTCAGGAGGGGGACGATCAAGGTGGAAAGTCCGAATGTGGTGTCGTACATCCCAAGGTCACAAGATATCACAAATTGGAAGCTGGCGAAGCGATCGGACTTTATAGACCTTGTCAATACTACCTACCGCACGGAGTTCAAGTCGTGGATGACAAGAGCGGAGGTACGAGATTGGAGGCGTACTGTGGATGAGAATGTTTTCTGGGTGGTGGCAGTAGGTGTACCGTTGGATGAGATGGCGTTTATTTATGCTCATGTGGAAAGAGGAATTGGCAAAATTATCAAGCATCACCAGCCAGAAGCAGACGAGACGGACCCAAAATTGGTCAATCTTCGATTTGATCTTGATCCAGCAGCTAAGGCAAATATGAAGGATAAGATATGGGTGCAAACCCATCAAGGTGATATGCTGGACGTTCGGATGGCCTCTGCTGAGACAGATTGGTGTAAGAGATGCCAAACCTTTTTCCACCTAGAAGACACCTGCAGACGGAGCGATCGGAGAAATCGAGGCGAATTTTCTTCAAGACCACAACAAGCATCCTCAGCTCAGGGCAGGGGAGGCTCCCCGCGCCCATCGTACCAGGACCCCCTTGGGGTGCCAGCGACAGCTACTCATCAAGGAGTATCCACCAATTCATCGGCTCCAGCGGTCAGTGTGCAACCAGCGACTCAGGCCGGTGTTCCACCGGGATTGTCTTCTCAGTTAAACCCGATATTTTCTCCTAATGTGGGGCGTTTGGTCAAGGCTCTATGCCTCCTATCACCATGGCACCGGGTCAATCGAACCCATGGGCGGCCTTCTTCCAAAACATGCCGATGCATCTGTATTTATGGCAGCAAGCTCAAGCTCAAGTCGACCCATCCTTAACGAGCAGTTCGTCTTTCGTCAACCTTCCGTGGAACCAGCCCCTCGGGAACCTAGGAGGTCTCAACATGGGTGGCACATCAGGAGTCGACAGCCCAGCCGGCCCTTCGTTGGGTGCGACCGGGTTGATTCCTAGCGGCTCTCGTGTCCGGGGGGAATCCCCCAGTAAGCAGCGCCGTGTTAGTGACGCAGACGGAATCGATATGCAGGTGGATGGGATTCGACGGGAATTGTCGGCCTCGTCTAGTGAGGGTTCCTTCCACTCTCTTGTATCAGGAGATCTACGCGGTAATGCCACATCTGCAGGTAAGCGTAAATCAAACCGCCCTCGCCCTGATTCGGTATTGAAAGGTCAATCAGGGATGGAGATTAAGCTCTTGCCTATAGTGTGCGTGAATGCGAGGAATGCCTTTTGGATAGTGGCTTGGAGTGGGTCAGATGGCTCACCTTGTTTGTTCAGTACTTCATGTCTGGATCCGCCGATGCCTCATGCAACCGAAACGATGACACGCACCCTCTTCCAAAATAAGTTCGCTCTGCGAATTATTGCGGAAGTCTCTATGCCTAGATTTTTGGTTGACATCTCAGGTAAGCGAGTTAAATTCTTTGCTCCTCTTTTTTATGGTCGTTTCGTGACATGCCAGCTGGAACAGCTGGAAGCTGAAGGTCTTCGTCTCATTCCGTTTGGTTGGTTCCTTGAAGCCAAAAAACCAGATCTCCGTCGAATCCAGGTCTCCCCAGCTTTAACTGCAGAATTTCTCTCTGAATTGAATGGTAAGCTACTTAGAGAGCGCAAACTGGATTCATCGTTTGTCAAACGGGCTCTTACCGACCCATGGCCGGTAATCCAAGTCCCGATTCAACAAGTGGCCCATATCCAACAACCCGCAGGGGCGGCGCCGGTAAATGGGTAAATTAAACATTGCCACGTGGAACGTCCGTGGGTTGGGGGATACAGCGGGGATAAATAGACGTGGTAGGTTGAAAAGCTGGATTCATGACAAGAGGTTGGATATTGTATGTATCCAGGAGACCAAGTTATCAGAAGA